CTCTCAAAATGGCGAAAAATGTGGAAAATTTTCGAAATTTGAAAAAACGCGAATCCAAGGAATTAAATTCCAGACAAAGGGCTTAAAATCAAAAATTTTGGGATCTTAGCACCTCAAACGCACGGGATTCACTCTCAAAATGGCGACAAATGTGGAAAATTTTCGAAATTTGAAAACACGCGAATCCAAGGAATTAAATTCCAGGGAAAGGGCTTAAAATCAAAAATTTTGGGACTTTAGGGCTTCAAAGGCACAAAATTCAGCCCCGAAATGGCATCAACGTGTGGAATTTTCGAAATTTGAAAAACGCGAAGCCAAGACATTCAATCTCAGCGAAAGGCCTTAAAATCAAAAATTTTGGGATCTTAGCCTTTCAAACTCACGGGATTCACTCCCAAAACGACGAAAAACGTGGAAAATTATCGAAATCAGAAAAACGCGAAGCCGAGAGCTTGAATCTCAGGGAAAGGGCTTAAAGTCAAAAACTTTGGGACTTTAGCACTTCAAACGCACAGAATTCAATCCCAAAACGGCGACAAAATGTGGAAAATGTTCGAAATTTGAAAAATGCAAATCCATGAGGCTGAACCCCAGGGAAAGGGCTGAAAGTCAAAAATTTAGGGACTTTAGCGCTTCAAACGCACAAAATTCAATCCCAAAACGACAACAAAACGCGGAGAATTTTCGAAATTTGAAGAATGCAGATCGAAGGAACTGCATTGAAGCGAAAGGGCTGAAAGTCGGAAAGTTTTGGGATCTTAGCCCTTGACTTCAAACGCACGAGACCCAATCCTTAAACGATGGCAAAACGTGGAAAATTTTCGAAATTTGAAAACGCGTATCGCTTACATCTTTGCCCTGCTTAGTTTCTTACTTTGGGGAGGAGGGGGATCCTAGTGGGAGGGATGTTATCGGACGCTCCAAGCTAGTATATAACTCTACAAGAACGAGGACATGCAAGATGAGAATACTACTTAAACGTGACAAGTGTAATTTACCCTCAGAACTAATTTACCAAAACATGGAAGGGAATCAAAAAACTTCGCTGCATCCCTCATGAACAACAATCTACATCAATATTCTCGTAGCTTTACAATGCGATCTTCTATGTCTTTACCAGTGGTCAACTCCTTTGTTACCGTTATCTTTCTAATATGCGAGATCTGATAGTGTCACTAAAACAAGCTACATCTCAACATCAACACTTCACTAAATCTGACTTCAGCTTTGATCAAAAACAAAATGATCCTCCTACTCCTAATTCTCAGCCGCTTTCTTCACGTTAGAGGTAACAACAGCCCAGCTTTTAGATGAACATCTTCCAGTTCATTCCAAGAAGCTGCGTTGACCTGGAAGATATTCACATCTAAAAAAAGGTGGACAGATCTAAGAGATGTTGCAAAAAATGGGTAGTTGACGGTGAAAAGGAGGCCAAGGATGGCACTGAGGATGCTTCAGCGGTAGCCTTAAATGTAACTGCTTGTACATCAGCCAGTAGTGTAGTTGCTTCCATGATGATTATAGGCGCCTCTAGTAGTGCTCGTCCGCCGGCGCATGAAGTAGAGCATCATGACCCACAATCAAGGGACCTTCCACCTCCTCCGGGATTGAGATCCATTCCACCTTGAGAAACAAACAAATTTCCACCTCTCCGATACGCAAACACACGGTTATGTGTCGAAATCGAGAGGAGGCGGATATGAAGGGAGCTCACCAGAGCAGGTGTGTTGATTAACAAGTCGATACAAGAGAGGGACAACTCTACTAAAAAATGGGAGCGACTGAAACTGATTGTGGACGATGATCCGTAGTTTTAGCCCCTTCTGTTCTTATCTGTAAATGAATCTAGAGGAGGCAAAGACACAAATACATTGTCTGTGTGACCTTCAAATCAATTGAGAATACTCGCTTCCCTTTCCATAACGAAACTGAAAAGGTTCCAAGTCAAACCACAAAGCGATTTTTGCAGGAGCTTTTGCACGCATGTCCCGGACGAGGAAGCACAATTCAACATGCCCGTTGTCATGGAAATGCACCAATCGGGATCCTGGTTCCCGACGTTTCATGTAGTCGGCCCAATGGTAGAGGTCTAAATCGTTTTTACCATTGAAAGATGTAGAGAAGCTGGCGGAGGCAGTTAGAGAGAGAGAAAGGGATCGTGAATATGATTGTTCTTTTTTTCGATTCATTGTGAATCATCATCATACGATTGAAGATTGAGTTAGAACAAGAAGACCACGTACTAATGTGATTTTTAAGTGATTGATTTAGTGACTGATTGCTTGATTGATTACGATTCATTGGCTTATCTTGTTTATATTTATACACCAGAACCATTTTCAGTAGAATTCACCCTTCCTCGTTCCTTAACGACGTCAATAGCCCATTGCCCTCCTGAATGGCGCTTCCCTCAACGATTTCCTCCATATCAGTATCATTGATATCGGGTGTTTCACTGCGCTGGTGAAAATCCTCATATTCCGAGAAGTAGAGCCCGTAGACCCCAGACTCGAAGACAAGGAGGAGGTGTCACCAAGTTCAGCAGAAGAGTGGAGATTGGAAGAGATGTTGAGGACAAAAATAAATTGGTATGTTGCTGCTCCAGTGGTGCAGATGAAGTGATGCAATCTACAGTGAGCTTCTACCTTCCAGCATCAGAATGTGGCTCGCTTGCCAAAATACTAGGAAGCAATTCGTCTATCTGTATCTATAATGCTTCTGATATCACCGAAGTATCCTCAAAAAACCAGAAAAACAAGCCCTAACAAAGAACGCCGAAGGTGGCTGCTCCTCTGTATCGACATATTGAGATGCTGTCCGCAACAGCGACCCTCGCAGAACACCATGATCACCTCGTCTGTGTTGCAGCTCATTGCCTTGGTTCATCGCATCTGCGTGGACATTTCCACGTAGTCTATCTGCAGAAGCTGGTTCTCGCTGTGGTTGTCGCCGTTGATGAACATCGGGAAGATGATTCTTCATTTGTGGTTGGAGATCTACTTGTCCTCGCGGAGTGGGACTCTCGTATCGCGAAGAACTACCAGCCGCTCCAGCACCCAATTCACCATCGTGGTAGGTCCTGATGTGTCCGTCCAGCGTCCGCAAAGAGGGGCACGGCTCTGCATTTGCGCCATCCGTCATCAACACCGGACTCGTGGAAAAAAACTGAGGACTCAGTCTCCACCGACTTTTTTCTCTCGGAAAAGCTTGCGTTAGGAAGTTCTTGGCCTGGACCGCGACGTCCCGGAAACTGTGACGGCGCAGGACATCAATAAACTCGAATCCAATCTCGTAGCCGATTTGTTCCTGTTGACTGAAGCCTGTCGCAGCTAGTTGCCCAAATAAGGGATGCCTTTCTCGAGAATGCAGTTGAGCAAGGTAGTCGGACAGCGTCGTGTGCGCTGTTCGTAACACTTGGACTGTGACATGATTTTGTTGTATTTTTTGTGAGGGACTTTGTTCGCTTTGTTCTTGTTCTGGATGTTTCTCTCGATGATGTTTTCCATCTACGACAGCTTGTCGATGAAGATCTTCGCTTGGCGACAAGAAGTTGTCACCTCCTCCATTTACTACACTAGTAGCTGTACTAGCACCTTGCTCAACATCTTCTCCTGATCTCCTTGTACTTTTACGGCCTAGAAACAACGGCCTAGAACCAGATGAAAAGACGTCCATAGAAGAGCTGTCCTCAGAGCTCTCTTTGCTAGCATGTCGCGTGGACGCTATTGATGTAGTTCTCGTTCCACACGAAGACGCCGCTGAAAAAGGCGAGATGAGACTTCCTGAGGGCATCGAATCATCCTCATCTACATCTTGGGGATCTGCAGAGGCAGCATGAGCATCAATGTCCCCAGTATTCTGATTTCTGATGCGCCGTATCACTTCGCTCAAAGACAATGGACTATGGCTTACTCGATGATTGCCGACGACAATTTCTGGAACGATGTCACGTTAGAGAGGTAAAAGCATTTCACTTCTTCCCTCTATTTCTTCACAACCCTAAGAAGAAGGAAACGGAAGAAAATGAGCCTCGGAAATGAATTGTTGTATCGAGCCTTAATCTGGAGGAAGGACCTTCTCCAACATCGCTCGTAGCTTGCGACACTTCGTGTCGCTGTTTACGTACATGACCTCAGAACCGCTGAAATTCATCTGCACAGCAATCTCACGCCTCGTGTCAGCATGTTGCTCGTCCTCTTGTCGCTGTTCTTCTACTCTGATGTATTAGAACTAGCAGGAACCCGTAGTCCTTGTGGTCCCTAGAAGTAGGACTAAGAGATACGACCGCTGGTCCACCTCTATCTCAGTAGCATAGATTTGATATCCTTCAAGAATATCCGAACATCCCTTCTTGCATCTACAAGATTTACTTGACAAGGCACGACCCTTAATATGGACATAACAATGGATTACACGACCTGTTGGTCTACACCCAGACTCATAACTGCAGTCACCACCGCTGAAGACGTCAGTCCTTCGCTGCTTCCTTGTCTGTCCTCTCGTCGGACCTAGGGCTTCGTCGAAGTCTCTAGCCTCTCTGGCGTTAAACGGATTTGGTGCTCCTGCGACAAGGGGCAAAAGCAAGAGCAGGTTGAAGCATACTAGACACATCTTGATGATCCTGAACCGCCCGAAAGACCGTGATTGGATCTTATAAACGACACACTCCTCTTTAGGTTTGGACCAAACGGTAACAGAAACAGCTAAAACCTCAACTCTTACGCGAAGAAGAACAACTCGAAACCCTGCTCGTTGTCATTATTCGGAGAAGGTGCACACTCCTCTTTAGGTATTTGACCCTCGCAATTTTCCATGAAAGAACCGTTCAAGGCCAGATTCAACACCGTATAAGTAAATAGTGTATGGCCGATGCAACACCGTTCAAGGCCAGATTTTCAAGCCCAAGCCTTAGAGCAGGAAAGGCCACCGGGAGCAACCCTCAGTCGTCTAAAACGAAAATGCATAAAAAAAGTCTCCTTTGATTTACTGAACAGTTTCCTGAAATGCAGTCCAGAGCTAGATAAACGGAAGATGTCGTCACTGTTAATGAGAGAAGTGAGCTGCTCCTGCCTTCGATTGGAATGAGGGACACTGTCTCGTCCACGATATCCGCAGAGCTAGATAAACGGAAGGTCAGCCAAAAATTCTGATCTTATCTTTATCTTTGACATGGTCAAAAGAATTTACTCTTCGCCATGATACCCGGCATGCTCCCATAAAATCGTCACACCGACGATTATGCCACCTTTGTCACTGGCCCTCGTGCGGAAATCGCACACAAAACCCGCCTTTTCCAAGGCAGGTTCCATCGTAGATCTAACCCAATTCCAAAACGCCGTCTCTGAAGCAAAATACGGTTTCCAGTCAAAATCATCCGCACCTAGCTGTATCTGGAATCGTCCATTCTTCGCAGCATTGCGTAAACGCGACAAAATCTCTGGTGCAAGATTCTGCTCGGCTGAGTCACACACATTCTTTGCCTCCTCATGCAGCTTCTTCGTGATAAACTCCTCGCCGATCTCAAATCCCATCTTACTTATTATTTTGTCCGCCTCCGCGATGATCAGTTTGCGTTTATGCAAGTACACTCAAAACTACATGAAGTAGACGTGTCCATCAGAACGGAAATGGAGTGCTAAGACCTCCATATACTGCGGGATTTTGACTCTGAAGATGTGACAAGCTGATCCTCCAAGAACAAGATCTACTGCCAACTCAAACACCTATGCCGCGTCAGCGTCTACCACGGAGAAAGAGTCTCTCCCCCGTAGAAAATTTTCACCGAGCCAGAACATCTTTCCACGTTCTTACACTTTCTTGTGCAGGAACAGCTTTTTTTCGATGCACATGTGATGCACAGTTCTACATAGTGCATGTCTTCATCTATAAATGGCACTTACTGACTGATTCTATGACACCATCCATGATGAAAAATCCTCTGTCACAAAGGACAAGATTATACCATCAATCTAGTACACAAAAATTCAAAGTTGTCTCTAATTGTTGGTCGTGCTACAACTTGGCCATTATCATGAAGGAGCTGCTAAAGCTAAAGGTAATCTCTATAACTATATCATGAATTTCTCTTCTATGTTCGTAGCTTCGCAAACCTCTTCAATATCCTGCTTTATTCCTGGGAGATTTTCATTGACTTGTCATGTCGATATCAAATTAATATATGTATGGTTTCAGCCTTGCTGATGAATTTCATTGCTTCATTATTTCTAATTCTAGAAACATGGATATGATATGTGAGTAAAGAAGTTGTCTGTCGTGGTCCCTGATTATGCAGCATGAAGAGAAAGAACGGGTCGCGAGGTGTGTAGACAAGACGCTCTCGTAACTCTGCAAGTATGATCATAGGAAGAACCCTGATATTCTTTGCTTGCGGTCGCCACTGTCCATTACACCATCTACCAGCTAACAAAAGATCAAAAACGTTATGTATCTGAAGACTTCCTTTATGACCTGAAAATGTCGCCATCCAAAATCAATAATCTCCTATACAAACACACAGCGCTGCACTTGCTGCGTCGTGCCGTCTACGGTGAGCCGGCGCTTGTATTGGACCAGAATAATATGATGATCCCCTTGGGCTCGCCGCAACACTAACGCTCCTGACGCACGTTTGTTCTCGACAGAGAGCATCCACAAAATCGGTCCCTTTTTTCTATCACTAAAAGATGTTCCTCCAGTGGTTCTACTATTTGACAATCTACTTGATACTCGGTTGTTTGCACCCGCAGCAGGAGGAAACGACAAAAAGCGCGATGAAGAAGCTCCTGTGGACGAAGCCCCACTACTTGTGCTATTGCCACCCACATTAGGACTACTAGATGGCGTCAACCCTGCATGGCAGCTACTGGATGCCGTATCCCATACCGAACTAGCCGTACCAGGAGACAGGCCACAAGCTGCCGAAGACATTTCAACATCGTCCCTCTCCTGCTGCTGCTGCTGTATATTGCTCAAGGCACTTCTCGAAGACAAAGCAGCTGCCTGATGAGCAGGACTACTAATACTGCTCTTCCTCGAAGACGATGCAGCCGCTTGAGCAGGACTACTAGTACTGCTCTTCCTTCCGTTGAAGACATCTTCTGCTTGTTCTCCTTCTTCTTGCTCGTTCCTTGCTGTAGAATCTTTAGCATCTTTTGTAGCAGCAGCTTTGTAGACGAGGAGGAGCGAAACTCTAAGACTCTGTGGACCTCTGCGATGCTGAGGGTCGGTTTTTTAGAGCTGGTCCTCCACGACATGGAGCTCTGCCAGAGCATAACCCTGCCACGAAGGTTAAGTCTGGAAGTACGCAGAAGCATAATGATGATCTATGCATGATTAGATTTACTTAGTTAGACGTACTTTCAACCAAGACCCTTACAAAAAGAAGCCTTAATGCAACTTGCCGTCATCGTAATCCCAATCGAACTCGATCCGAATCGCTGTAGGTTCTAGGCCAGCGTCAGCCGCGTTACATAACTCTAGAGTCCTCACCTTCGCTACACTTTGAGAGCCACTTTCAGACGGAAATCCTCCGGGTAACAGTGGTACAGCGACTAAAACGCGTCTCCCGCTATTGCGCGTCCATTGCTCTGAAGCCTGCATCGGCGTCAAGCTACGAAGCAGCTCGTTTTCTGCTCGTTCCTGCGCGGTCTGGTTTTCACCTCGAGAGTTAGAAGAAGGCTTTCAAAGCCCAAATCAGCTTCGGCCGTCGACGTCGTTTGTAATTCTAATGGTTTCGTTCTGAAATCCTCTATTGTGAATAGGCTCATGCAACGTAGGGTCCTCGAAATGCAAGTCTAAGTCACAAGTCATGGCCTTAACTCCATTCGTCGCCGCAGCCGCTGCTTCTATTGCCTGTCCTGTTTCACCATCATCATGCGTCTTCGGCTTCGAAGACCTTCCTTCCAGACCTTCTAAAACCGCACCTGATTCTCGAGTCACCGTCTCGCGAGCACGTATTGCCAACAACTGTGCTTCAAGCTCAGCGTCTAACGCTGACGATGGACCCGAGAACCCCTGTCGACGCAGTACCACTATGTCCTCCGACTCTGTACCAAAGGGGATGAGAGTCTTCCACAAACTGTTGTGCTCTTGATGTTCTGCCGTCATCCTCCTCAGCGCTCTCATGCGTATTTCACCGCGCGTTTTTGCAGTCGGTTCCAGTACTGTTCTCGTCTTAGCTCCAGTAAAGGTACGTGTTTTAGCTCCAGTCATAGTGGTGGTCTTCGCTTCAATCGTATTTCTTGTAGCTGCCTGTGAAAGACTTCGATCTTGAATTTGTATTGCAGATTTTCTGTCAGGATCTTCTAAAAAATGATGAAAAACGGCTCTAAGTGGGGGCAATCCCTCTGATCTTGGTCGAATGCTGGCAAGTGGTCCAAGAGCACGAGCAAGCTCTTCCCCAGAAGTTGTTCGGTCTTGAACGTCGATGCATGCACTACTACTTAGCGGGATTCCTCCTTGTACTGTTCGTATTCCATCAACGCCCATCGTCTCCTCAGGATCAGTGGCCCCCTCCTGCTCGTCCATACGGTATGAAAAATGGCGTTTTTTCTCCACTCTAGAGACAGACCATCGATGCCCCCCTCTAACCTACACACTTTCAAGAAGAAGCGGAGCAATGCAATACAATAAAATACAATAAGATACAATGCAATACAAGACAATAAAATACAATCCGACAAGTCTCAGCCTCGATGGTCTGTTAAAAATGGGAGAAAAGACATCATCCATATAGTATGGAGGAATCTCTCTCTAAGATGCTCCTCGTCTTCTGAACATTCTAGAGCCACACGGGTGAGAGAAGTTGAAGAAGAAGCTTCTGACAGTTGTTGTTCTCGGATAGGTGGAGCCGAATGTTCTTGTTCTCCAACAGTTTTTACATCAATCTCCTCAAAATCCAAAACCCAAGGGGGTGCGCCTACCGTCTCGAGATCAAACGCAACTTCTCGTAGGATGTACTCGATCTCCATCGGCTTCCCCAAAGACCACCCACCGCGACTCATAGAGTAAACTTCGTGGCTGCGCCGACGGTCGCCAAAATACCTCGTAGTTATATTGTTGGAAGGGCTAAGTCTCTAGAGGTAAAACTAACCGGTTGTTTTATTTAGTACTTTGAGCGCCGCTGGACCTATAATGTTATAATGTTATAAGACTCTATCTAGAACGAGACTTCATAAAGCGAACTCAAACTGCTATTGAGAGACCGATTCTGTAGTACTCAACCTAAAGATGTATCTGTTGAGAAGTGCTCCTAAAGCCAGCTAATGCTACCTGATCTTAGTCCTTGGAGAGAAGGTTGAGGTCGAAAGGGGTATGAACAGCGGACGTGTCTCTCATGCTCACTCTCGTTTGGGTTCTAGTCGTGATAGCAAAAATTTTGCAAGCCTACACTTTTCACGTCAGTACCTCGTCACCGGCGCACTCTCCCCTTCGTAAAACTCCCTCGCTCCACGTATCAATTCTGGAAAGGTGATCCTGGATAAAACACGTTTTAGGGACTGAGAGAGCGCAGTCGCAACCCAAGCATTCTCATCCGCAGCAACATCTTCTTCCGGTTGTAGCCAACCGCATGGATTAGAGGACACAAGATATGTTTAATGAAGTTAAAGAGGGCTTCTAGTGGTCCTAGGATAAAAAAAGCGGTTTCAGTTATTGTAATGATGCTACGTTGTACATTCAGACCCATGCCATATCACTTGAAATATCCTCATTCTCAACGCAGCTTCTGATCAAATCATCAGTTGTTCAGTCATAAGCAACCCACGCGGCGGCAGGGTAAATTCCCAGACGCCTTGATGGAGCTCCTCAAGAAACTGCGAGAACGAAGCCTGGACGTACACGGCGCGCACCTGCGGAAATGTAGGAATCTGCGGCTTTTCGTGTTCTGGTGCTTGTGGAATTCTTGTCTTGTTCGTAGAACATGACTGCTGTTGTTGTTGTCGTGACCGAGACACAGTCCCATCATCCCTTTCGTTTTGGCCAGCTTCTCGTAAACCACCAACATCTACCCTGACTCCTGCTGAATCCTCGTCCACATCCATAATTACTGCGTCCTTTACATCCTTTGCCTCCTCTAGACCAGCGCGTACCTCAACTCCACCAATACGAGCGTCCAACTCAACGAGTTCAAACAGCGCATTGTCCCTCGTCAATGACGAGCTTTCCTCCGAACCGGTATAAGGTGCTGCACTAGCACTACTGTCAGAGCAGCAATATGGAGGAGGAGGAAATTCCAGACCCTCAGCTCCAATGGGAGCGCCATAGGTCATTGCGCCATGAGAACTTATCGTAAAATCATCTTCTCGTTGGCTTACTAGAAGATGGCCTTCTAGGTCGTCGTCAATCTCTGGACACCTCTGAAATGGCTGTACAGGTACTGGTCGCTTCTCTCGTGAGCGCTGCGGTGAAACCGGTGCTCGAGTCGGTGAAGACGCTTCCCGACGCCTCTTGCATGGAAGACGGGCAGTCGTATCTTTGAATCTTGATCTCAAACTCGACGAGGATTGGCTGACCTCGTCCTTCCCCTTCGTTGAAGATGATGAACTCGTACTAGTACGATGTTGACGTAGACCTGACTTGATGCCTAGTACTTGTTCGCCACCAGACCTTACCAAACTTCTTGTCCTCCCTACTGATCCTGTTCCACCCCTCATCAGATCAATCAGGCTTTCCCGCTGTTCACTGCGCAAATCCACAATGTGTGATGGTATCTGAAAATCATCACCGATCAAAATTGAGGCCAAACTCCTCGCGCCTCTTGCTTCTGCTTTCCCTTCCAACAACCTTCGTAAGGAAGCGATACTAGTGTGAGCGGGAACTTGCAAACCTGGCTCGGAGGAAGCGAAACCAAGGTAAATCGGGATGTCAGTACAAATGGAATTGTGGAGGTCAACGTCCTGTTCCTTGTTAGTGCTAACTCCTTGCACAGCATCAGGCCCACTTTTATCGATGTCACATTGCTCCTCAACTCGCACAAGAGACTGTTTAGAGTCGCTTGCTGCGCTTCTTGCTGGCTGTTGTAGCAGAGATGCTCTTCGAAATGCATTTGCAGGTATCGAGATTAAAGGACCCTGCACCAGCAAATAGAGCCAGGCCTTGCAAACGTTCCCGCACATCATTTTTTAAGAAAGAACAAACAGAAAACGATAAAAAAGTGCTTGGTAGTGCTGAAATTGCTACCCTATAACAATAGTTAGTTGGCCCTATAGCAATACTAAAAGTTAGTTGGCCCTCTCCTCCTCGCTCTCATTTTCTAGAGTTAAATATTGTAGCTCATCCCTCTCGACATGACATCTTTTACCGACTGATCCTTGCTCAAAGGCGCCACTCAACGCGCGTCGTTGATCTATTCATTGTGACTGCATAGCCTGATATGGAAAACAGAAAGCCAGGGAACAATATCAAGACTCGGGTGTCATAGAAAAATCAAGCAGAGGACTCTCGTCTGAGAGAGTGGTGTGATCGAAACACTATGATGCGCAATTTATCAATATCAGCAATTTAGGGCAAAGTTCGGAGGGTTCCTCCTTGTCCTCTTTTGTTGGGAAACAATGTTCTGGGAAACAAGCGCTTTGACCACTACTTGCATCAAACTCTTGCAAAAGCACCGCCACCCTGTTAGTAAGCTCTCGCAAAAGCACGACCTTTCATCTTTCCCTTTCCCTTGCCCTTCAGTGGTGCTATAGTGCCACGGCCGTGTCCCTGACCTCTGGATCCGAACATAGGACACATCGCAAGCATATCAGGAAGACAGAAAAACCTCACCTGCTGCCCGCGGACGTATACCTGCGACTCATAGGTGATGAAGAAGAGGATGCGTGAGGGGATAATGTGTCCATGCCTCTAGAAAATTTTACAGGCGAAACAGTGCAATGGACCACAAAGACCGACCTGATTGATTCGATGATTCGATAAAGATAAATATCCGCAATCTCTTACAGTATAAAGTTTTTCCCTCGTTTTGATTTTGATTTCATATTTTGAATTTTGATTTTGAATTTTGATTTTGAATTTTGGTTTTGAATTTTGAATTTTGATTTTGAATTTTTTAAATATCAAAGTTTTGAAATTTGGGCCAAAGTTTCGAAATTTGGGCCAAAGTTTTGAAATTTGGATCAAAGTGTTGAAATTTGGATCAAAGTGTTGAAATTTGGATCAAAGTGTTGAAATTTGGATCAAAGTGTTGAAATTTGGATCAAAGTTCTCAACACTGGATCAAGGTTTGGAAATGTGGACCAGAGTCTTGAAGTTCTACGTTTTGATCTTCAATTTTGATTTTGAGTTTTGATTTTGAGTTTTGATTTTGAATTTTGAATATTGAGTTTTGAATTTTGAATTTTGGATTTTGGATTTTGGATTTTGAATTTTGATTTTGAGTTTTGAATTTTGAGCTTTGATTTTGAATTTTAAATATCAAAGTTTTGAAATTTGGACCAAAGTTTTGAAATTTGGGCCAAAGTTTTGAAATTTTGATAAAAGTGTTGAAATTTGGATCAAAGTGTTGAAATTTGGATCAAAGTTCTCAACACTGGACCGAAGCATCTGTTCGCTTTCCTTGCACATTCATCTGCAGTTCATTGTTCTAGCAAATTTTTTGGAATTCCCTTGACGCCTGCCCCTGGGGAACCACTCCAGAGAGCTAGTGAATAGTACCTGTTCCATCACCGTTATTAGTCCGTTTTCCTCCATCACGGTGACTCCTTCAAGCATGCAATTGAAGTTGTCTTCACATGTCATTAAATGTCCTCTATACACCCTTCCATTTCTGCATTCCACGCTTACTGTATGCCCAATAGATTCATGCAGAATCTTGGCAGGTATACCCAAAGACGGCGTCATTTTTCTCTGTCTACTTGTTCAGGTAGCTAGCGATGATGCTGTTGTATGGCGATGAGGGAAAATGTACTTAATCATGCACCGGTTTGTTCCCAACGATCAAGAAACAAGCACTTCCAAGCTTACCAGTCATATGAGGAAGTAACCATCTACAGCTCCTGAGCTCCTGAGATTCATTCATTTACCCAGCTCCTGAGACTTGTTGAGTTTCCATTGATCAATCAGAAACAAAACTAAGTACGTTTTCACACGAACCATTTTTTACAAGTTTTTCGATGGAAGTTCGACGCACCAGATGATAAGTCAGAGTGAAAGCAGAGGAACAGAGAGCACGATGAAAACAGATCATTAGGATAGGATAGGATTTGATTCACCGTCCACAGTTTGACCTGCATCCTCGGGTGAATATGTGCAGCCACAGAGGGACTACCAATTTTGATTCATGGTGATAAAAGGCGCAGGACGGAACGGAGCACAACAGATCCTACCTTCATTCTTCTACTTGGAAGATCATAGTATTTCAGTCGTTTTTAAGGCACTTCGGAGAGCGAGAAAATCTGATGAACAACTACCGCCGACCTCTAATCTGATGGACAAAGCGTCGTGAAAAGAGTTTTCAATATTTTCAGCTGATTTATTTCCCGAGGCCCAAAGATATAGTTTCATAGGTTCTTGTTTTGAGCTGTGGCTGCTTCTGTGCATGTCCTCCCACCTCACACCGTCAGACATCGCAGCTCTTCTTTTCTTCGACTCAGCCTCAACATTAAGGTAGTTTGCCTATCTTTTTCTATTGTACTTCCTCTCATCAGTTCTAACGAATCTCAAGAAGTGCCTCCGACTTCTGGAGGACGTTAGGAGTATCTGAGAGTTGCTCGTTTTTTCAGCCATTGATCTTCCTCTCACTACTTCACTTCTAGATCACTACGCCTACATACGATACTAGATAAGTTGTTGTAGAAGTAGATCGTCATAATCAATCTAGATTTAATTCTCTTTTTCTTTCTGTCTAAGTAAGAACAATAATCTGTAATGCCTTGATGTTTGATAATTCCTAAGAATTAAATTGTGATAATGACAAATGATAATGACAGTCCGCTGTGCAGCTAGATTCATATTTTGTTGTTAGAAGATAGAAACAATATCTTCTTCTTTTGATATTGATTTCCATCTTAATGCTAATAGTTGTAGTTTGTTATACGACTAACTCGTAATCATATTGTTCTGTAAGTTAAATATACTTGATTAGATTTCGTTCATTTTCTTCAGTTCGAAACATCTTAGAGATGCGGAAGTATTTCTTGATGTATTATTGTTCATAGACAAAGACCTATTTTGATGATAATTTGTTCAATAAACCATAGTGTTTCGCAACAAGAACTTTTTGATCATTTCATATAGGTAGTGCAGTAACGTCATATTCGCACTGCAGTATTGAAAGAAGCAGCGTGAGAATTCTGATTCTGTTTCGTCTCTAGTTAAGATTCAGTTGTTGTGAAGTTCTACTCCACCACCGTTTCAAGCTTCACACAAGTTAAATGCTGTTTTCAGCATCGTGGAATGATAACATGAAGTCATCAAAACCATCTCTAGGTAGAGCCATCCTCCTCGTCCAGCTCAAGAATAATGTCTTAACATTCTTAGACCTACTTACTACCAAGAAAGTCATTCTTCGACCTTAGACCTCCCAAGAGTAGCTGTATCTCTATCTCTTCCAGAAGTAAGTTTAATCGTCGGTCTGCGAGATCATCGCGACACCACGCTTGGTCCAGAAGTTTTCGTTGTGGCCCTGAGTCGTGTCAGCCGGCATGTACATGAACATGATGAAGTTGGAACTGTGACCGGAAGTCGACAGCACACCACGTCGATCGGAGCACTTGTAGACCGGGTTGGCGTACATGGCCGGGTAATCGTGCTCGTCCTTGTCCTTTTCGACTGGCTTCAACCGGGACTTAGAGGGAGAAGATAGGGCCAAAGAAATAGAAAATGCTGCTGCCTCTAGTTGTACTGGTACGCAATTACAACAACATTACGGGATAGTACTGGATTACAACATTACAGAGGAGTAAAAATAGCTATTATAATATTGCAAACAAGCCATAAAGAGCAGTGGAACCGTGGACCACAGCACCTTCGGGAAGGAGTCCTGCAGGGTCATCGTCTCGTCATCCCATCGTGCACCCTGCATGTACAATCCACGAATGTAGCCACCGCGCTCTGGCGGTTCCGGGTCGGTTATGGAGGACTTCAACACCTCAAAGTTCCACATCAGCTTATCGATGGCGATCGACGCCGACCGAGCGAAGTTCTGCAGAACACCGGTCAAATACGCCTGCTGGAAGAAGAACGCCGAGAACCAGAACGTATTCGGAATTCCTTGCTTGATCCAATCGTCCATGAATTTGCACCGCTTGAAGAAGTCATCCACGTAGCTCATCGCCGGCTTCAAACTAGGATAACTGACACCCAACCAAGCACCCGGAATAGCATTGGTGAGGAACCCGTTCGCGACTTCGGCGGTTAGAAGGTCCGGAGAGGGGGAGGAAGAAACAGTCAAAAGGTAGGAATATCTACTTATGACAAGAGCAACAGGGTAGCACGCGACACGTCGCTACGCAGTCTATTATCTGTCCCTTCTGTTCCTTAACCAAGAATCGAAAAGAAGAACTAGCGCGGTGCGTGCTGGGTGCATTGCGATAGAGATAGAGAAAGATCATGGGTAGTAGGTAGCGAGAAAGATCATGGGTAGTAGGTAGCGAACGTCATGAGAAAATGTTCTACGCCGTCACCTATTATCTGTTCCTTCTGTTCCTTATAACCAAGAATCGAAAAGAAGAATTATTAGGGAGATTTATTAGCTTTTGAAAATTTGAAAATGTTCAGGAGCTTTTGAAAAAAAATCAATGTTCATAACTCCAACTCTGGCGAGAAGATGACGAGACCCTTGACTGCCTTGCCCAAGTTAACGCAAGTGTCGTAGATCTTGTTGTACAGCTTGATGAATTTCACCAATTCGTTCAACAACACAGTGTTCAGGCACTGCTCGTATTTCACTGGGTATTTTCGCATAGTAGCTCCCATATCGAACGCTTCGGGGAACGTGGCCAGGACACCTTCCGCAGCTGCGGAATACCTCTGCTCCGGAGTCATGGCAGCTGCGCCCTCATCTTCGTCGTCGCCGCCACCGCCTCCACCGAAGGAAGCCAAAATTAGAAAACTCTTCTTGACCTGATGCCAAATTCTTCTTGAATGACCCGCATATCTGACTCTGACAAGCATGTCAGAGATACGTTTACGTACCTCAATTCATCTCTGGCTCTGAGCTTAGGAAGCATGTCAGAGATACGTTTACGTACCTCATGAAGAAGATGAATTTCTGGAAGCAAGCCTTAACATCAACAGCAGCGCGTTCTTCAAAATGCTCACACCCTCATTGATGGATGCTGTCAAAGACGCGTTCGGGTGGAGCCAGAAGACTTCTGGCGTGTGGTTCAATGGGAGGCTTTCGACGTACGCGAGATGCTCTTGAATCGTGTTCGCAACCGGTGAGTAGTAAATACCACTGATAGAGAAGCGGTAATCGTCGTCAAGGACTTGAGGTGTGTAGAAGTCCTTGATGATCTCGACCTGTGGGTCGTTTGTGGTGGGAAGGGGATGGATGATGAACCTGGATTCGCAAAGGAACAATATCGGAAGAGATTTGATAGTGCTATGATCGCACCTTTGTAGGAACAACTACTTCTAAGGTAAACCTGCATTTTTTAGCAAAACAGATCGGAATCATCTCAAGAACGAGCTTTTAAATTAAATTGCTTCTGCTTTAATATCACAGGCAGTAAGAAAAAATAAATGCATGCTTCATTATTAGCCCTGTGCTTGAAGTGGGTGTACCCACAGGCAGTATAAGAAAAATTCCAATAATACGATAAGCCTCCTATCTTGTCCATCTGTGACACGACCACCATAGTTCGCTTCGGCAACCATGTAATTAAGCGCAGCATACGGAATATCTGAGAAGTCCTCCAAGAAGTTACGCAATTGTTTCTGAGAGATATCCAAATCGGGTTCCGAGAATCCGTACGCAACGTTCCATCCAATTGGCCCAAAGGCACGACGTTCCAGGATGAGACCATGGAAGAAGCAGAGACCGAACAGGAGCTTCTTAAACGTGCGAGGTTTGGTGGAGGACTCGAACCACTCCTCGTCCATGCCTGCCGGTTTGGGGGGTTTAGGGTTTAGGAGCGAATTGTTCGCGGGGACAGTAGAAGGATGGCAATGCCGCGTATGCGTCTTTCATCAAGGAAGAGGTTGATGTCTCACAGAGGTTTATTTTATCCAAGAAAAGAAAAATTGACACCACGTTGTATTTTTAGGCTAGATCAGTGCGTAGGGCACCCACGCTCAAACTCAAAAGTCATTACCGCGATAAGCTCTCTGCAGTGAGTTTCGTAGACCCTTTGGCGGTTCGATCGTCATCTTGATACCACCTTGCAGAATGGCGATCGGGAAGTCTGGGGATGGACAAGCCGTCAGCCACAGACGGAAGTCTGGGTTCAGATCATCTGGCTTCCAAGCTTCAATCATACCTTCTAAAATGGGCATGTAACTGACACCCAAGTGACAGTTCTGCAGAAGCACCCACTTACCATTGGCGGAACCGTCCGGAAGTTAGAGGAAGAGGGGGGAAAGGTACAACATGAACATCATTGAGTGAGACAGAGCTGGATCCTGGCGCAACAGATTGATTTTACACCCGTCGTCGTCCCTCTTTCTTTTCTTCTATGATTAACGACTTCTACGTTGAAACAAGCCTCAGGTGGATCGAGTAGTACGCCATCTTCTGAATCATGACTCGTCGATTGCAACTTCATATTCTTGTTGTTCAAACAAGATAAAAACGCCTCCTCTTCATAATTGATTCCTGCAGTTGCTTTCGGCCCTTGACCCTGACCCAGCGAGATCGGCACAATCTTGGACAACATATCGTATTTCATCGCCAAGTTCGTCACATCGGCCATAGGATCGGAACCACTAGACAGGATAAAGATCAGCGGAACCGCGGGAGAGCTATCGGAGATTAGAAAGGGTGGGAAGACGTCGAAGTAGGGCAAGGAGTTTCCATAGAATGTGTGAGCTGTCATTTGGACATGCAATCTTTAGGAAGCACTTACGTCTAAAGACTGCTGTGCAAGATTCAAATATCAAGAAACGTCTGTGAACCCGCGATCGATTTCTCATCCTGCACATAACTTGAACCATGTTGGCAAGTCAAACGGTGGCACCAGCAGGTACTCCTTTCCGAGCTTCGCAAGCACGACTTCCTGGAGAGCGACGACGACGGCATCCGTACGCAGAGCGAACATGACCAGAGCACGCTGCAAAGGGTTGCACTTGGCCTTCATGTTCTTGGGCCACTCGACCTCAGCTGCCATCGGGTCCTCACTGTCGAAGACCGCCTTCCAGCCATCCAAGTTGCCAGCGAAATCAGCCATGAAACCTTCGAAGACATCCCCCAAAGTGGTGAGCGTGTTCACACGAGCCCAGCTGACATCGGTGAGCCAGTCGCTGTTCTCCGGCTTCGGATCCGTGGCGCCGCCAGGCACGCAAGTCAACAACATGGTCAGTTGTCCCAAGTTCAATTCCTTGTCCGTCTCCATGCACTTCAGGCAGAGCATCAACGAGTACAGCAATTTGTCCTTGGCAAACAAGGACCGGCAGACCATGTCGTACAAGCGAGCAAGGCAGGAACGGAACAGTTCCTGCAAACGATCGTCCTTGCTCTCTTTGGCCTCCGCCATATCGATAGAGGTGTTAAACTGCACCACGAACCAATCCAAAGAAAACTCGTACATGGGGTCCACAGTGCGCAAGTCGGCCACGACGGGAGATTAGAGGTGGGTTAGGTTAGGATCATTTACATACTAATACGATGAAGATAGCACTTCCTACTTAATACTATTCCGAGTCGATTCTCTCTCCTGTGTACCCACGACCATGGTATAGACTTATTCAGTTCTGTATGCAACAACTGTGTACTGTGTTCTTTCTGTTTTGATTAGACGCATGTCCTGTTGTACCTGGTCGCTTCATTGATTTTCCCTTGTTCCTCCTTCTTCTAATAGAAGTTCAAACAAAAAATACTCATACTACTAAACCAGCAGCACCACGACCATGATGAACATAATGCTATCAATATTGTACAACGAACTGCTATTATTGTACAACTGTAATATATATTTTTTCATAAAAGAACAATGCGGAGCAGCGGAAAGAGTGTGGCGTGTAGGAGAGACGCGTCTGCGCGATGTTTGCAGCGGTCATTTCCTGGACCTTCACCTGTTCTCCAATGCGCGTAGATGTGATTTTTGAACTGGCCAACGTGTTGATCAATTCCTCGTCCTCCAGGATATCACCACTAGACGCCGACAGGAGTGCCAAAATCTTGTTCTCGATTTCGGCCAATTCGGCTTTCGACTGCGCGGACTCGATCACGAGGCGGACACGCGATTCTTCGATTTCTGGTTCTTCTTTCGCAACCAGAATACCCAACATTGCATCGGTTAAACCGTCGACGGTGGCCATAAAGTTCAACAGACACGCGGCAACGCAGATCTCCGGAGCATAATGGGGGTTCGGAAGCTTCGTCGTGAAATACAGCTTGAAATCCTTGCTGTACTCGACCGTGCTGTCACCTGGAGGCAAAAGTTAAACTCCGTTGAGGAGTACACTTAGTCAAAAATTTTTCTTAGCACGAAAATGGTCCTCCAACTGAAAAGAAAACTTAAATAACTACAGCCAGAACTATAAGCTTAAATGTCATAATGATCCACGAATAAAACTAGCTCTAGCCAAATAGGTAGTAGGTAGTTTTTTGTACCCAATCGGATCATTTCTTGCGATCCCTGCTTGAACGTGGCCTTTAGCAGAAGCGGGTCAAGCATCGCATCAATAGTCAGACCAATGTTCTCGATCAGCACTGGGTTACCGAACGAGATGCAGGTCTCCAATTGACGTGCGTAGTTCTGGTTCAATCGGAAAATCTTAAGCCCCGCACCATGCATGGTCTTCACCCACTTGTTGGCCTGGTTCTGCGGATCGATCATCAACGGCCAACGACGACTGCAATCTTAGACGAGGTTGTCACATGATTGACATATTTCCGAAAATGTCCTTTGACTTCAGGCCACATGATTGACATTCTTCAAAACCAACAGGTTGCTTAGGGCTTAGATTTTTTCGTCGTAGGAAAAATATGTTATCATTTCCACGTGAAAAGGATGTTGTCGGTCGTCAAAAAATGTTACTTACTAGAGACTGTGACTGTTAGTAGAGCATGTTACTTTTATAGTATACTTTAGGATGTTAGCAGGCACCCCTTAACTATGCAAGATAATCGCGTTATCGATGGAAAGCGAATCGTTGGGCAACTTGTCGATGACCCACTTACGAATCTTCACTGGATCTCCAATGCAATTCGACAAACTGAACCTGAGTGTTTTTTTGATACGCCAGTTGCTCGCAATCCGTAGTCGAAATCATAAACCAGATGAATTAACTTTAACAACAAGAAAAAGAAAGAAGATCAAAATTCTATAAATCTACTTCTAGTAGAGTACTCTGCCGAAGCTGGGATCTGCAATTCCGTGAGACGTGCGAGCCACCGATCGCAGGCTTCTTTTCGGTATACGCCGGTGAAGCAACCCAAATAAGCCATAATACCAGACGCGATCAAGATATCGCCTGTCAAATTGGTGTAGTCCTTGCCCAGTTTGGCACTGTTCTGCGTCCATGCTGCTTTCTCGCCTCCCAAACCAGTGATTAATTTTTCCGCACGCACGAGCTTGGCTCGGCAATCATCAGAGTTCTTCTGCAACTCCTCCAATTTGTTTTTGGCGTCGTTCAATTGGGTCACCAACTTGTCAACGAGAGCAATCACTTCAGCGAGTTCTGCTTTCTTGGTAGCAAGCAATTCCATGGCGTCTGAGGCAGACTTCTCAGCCTTCGCCAACTTAGCACGCTTGGGGCCGACCTCTTTGGCGACCTGGTGAGGGACGAAACGGGGAGATTTAAGGAAAAGAGATGAATGATGAAGATCTTGTAATCATTTTCCGAGGGAATTACGGTCGTCAGGATTAGAAAGGAGGACAGATGAATGTGGTGTGTAATTATTTTCCGAGGCAGGGAATTATGATCGTCAAGAATTCTGATGTCAACAAAATTAACACAAAATTTTCGCTAAAACTACATCTGACGGCGCATCTGAGATCTTGTTACAACGTCCGTGGTGCAACTTCTGACGATGTTAGTCTTCTGTCCATACTCAATATCAAAGCAGTAGAAGAAGTACCTTATCGTACACCACCATCGCACGTACCCACTTACAGATACCCATGGCTGCGATCGAGGCTTTCTTGATGATATCCGGGTCAAACATTTCCGAATCGTACAAGGGTTGCACTTTCTTGATGCACTCCTCAGACATGTTGTCCTTATCGTAGTTGACCATGCGCTCGAGCAAACGCGGGTCACCCAACAGCTCCTTCTTGGCCGGCTCCCAGAAGTCATCGACTTTACCCTTGCCATCCGGAGCAGCAACCTTCACGGGCTTCACAGGAGTTAGAGAGAGAGAATTCTTGCTTGCTACACATATACTTAAAAACATTAAATGCCAATTTCTCATCCATTTCTATCTCCTCTGTGCATTCGTATCATATCCGTCTAGTTAATGTTAACCGTGACTTTTTTTGACATGTAGAAAGATAGCAGAAGCTCTTTACTGAGAGGCCAAAAATGAGTCTCTTTGTTTATGCACTGGAGGAGCTTGCGGGGGAAGTGATTATACTAACTGGTGAGTTAACTTAACTGAGGGACCAACTAGGGACCAACTAGGGAGAGGGTTGGGGGCAACGGGCCCCGCGAACCCCGTCGTGTGCGGTGCAAAAAATGCACTCACGCGCGACGCCGCCGGTCGATGCAATGGCGCATCTCGGCGAAGGCGAACCACGGTTCGCGCCTCCGCGGAGGCTCGGGTGCGGTCGGGTGAGAGCGTTAATGCTACACCCACGGGGCGGAGTTCACATGCAGAGCGGAGCAGAGCGGAGCGGAGCGGAGCGGGCTGCCGGCGCACGGGCCAAAGCGCTCGTGCGTAGGCCGCGGGAGGGCCAACGCGCCCTCCGGCGGTGCGGTGGGCAGGCGCGTGGCGCCCAGTGGGGGGTGCTGGGGAGCTCGTAAAAATCGAGTTCCGCCGCGCGCGCGGCGCGCCATCCCCTCGCGGGGCAAAAATCGCCGCGAGGGTTTGGCGCTTGTGGCAGCACATTTTCGTAACCTCAAGCTGAAAGCTAGCTTGGGCAGGTCAAAAAACTTTTCTTTTTCCCAAAAATCCAGGGACTTTCTGTGCGCGTATAATCGCAATCTAGAAACTAGTGACTAGTAGTGCCCCCGCACTCTGGTTTTCAGCAAAACAAAAAACAAAATGACCTCCCTGAAAAGCGTCGGAGACCTCGTCATCCACACAGGCAAAAATCCTGTGGGGAGCGAGGACGTCGACGAGAAGGGCAAAGCCCTTCTGAAACTGATCGACGGATCACTGTTTCACCCCTCCATGGCGGAGGCCATGGAGGCGCTGCAAAAGCAGCTGGAGGAGAAGACGCAGTATGAGGATAAACTCATCTTCTGCGCAAACATCCAGGACTGGATTGCAGCACTCCGACAGATGGTCGGTGAACTTCCGGAAACGGAATTCATCGACACGGTCAAAAAAGACCTGGAGGACCCGCGCTTCGTGGGGGAAGGTGGAACCCTAACCGAACAGGGCACCACCTTGATGTGGTTCCACTTGTGGTTGGGCGCATACCACGAGGAACTAACGGCCGAACCCTGGGCCTCGAAGTCTCTGATTAAAAAAGAGACTTTTGAAGCCGGCGCGAAGCTCGCCGAAAAACGAAAGTTTCGGGAGGAAAACCCGCAGCTGAACCTGGCGGAAGTCCCGGCGCAGACCGCCAAAAAGGAGGTGATAGTCCGCTACCTGATCGAGCGCACCAACAAAGAGGTGCTCAACGACTGGGACGCGAAGCCGGCCAAGACGCCGTGGACGTCGGTCCGCAAGGCGCACGAGGAGGAGGACCGAAAGCTCCTCGAAGAAGAGGAGAAGCAGCGCAAGGCGGAGCTCGAAGCCAAAAAGAAAGAGGAGGAGGACTCCGTGGACTTCGCCGACAAAAGCGAAGAGTCCTCCGAGGAGCCGCCGGAGACGGCAGCTCTGTTCAAAACGTTCGCGAAGAAGACCGCAAAGGCCATCGCAACGGCTTTGAACAGCAGCGGAGAGGACAAAATCCTCTCCTATGACGACACGCGCCCGGCTAGCGAAGGAGAAAAATTCTTCGTCTACCGACGCGTAAACGGCGTCGAGAAGAAAACAGAGGTGAAAGTCGTCTGGCCTTCCGTCTTAACTCCGGGCGAGGAAGTCGCAGACGCACAGGAGCAGTATAAAAACTGCTTCTTCACGAACGGAGAAAAAGCCTCTAAGCAGGCGAACCACGTGCTCACCGCGTTATTAAAACACGTGGAAAAGCACGGCCTCCGCTCCGTTTTCGACGTGGACGAAAACAGCGTCCTGAACACGACGGCAGGCCAACGCCTCAACCAAAAGGCGCTGGCGCTGCTCTTCGGAGCATACGCGGCCGCAGGCATCTGGGGCGAAGCCCAGGTGGGAAAAAACCAACCCAAGGTCTCAAACTGCGCCATCGCAGGCTTTAACGGAGACAACCTGCAGCGCACAAACAGCGCGTTCCAGAACCTGGTCCGGAAACAGGTCGTCGCCAGCGTCCCGGCTGACTACTGGGACAGATGCAACCTGGACCAGTGCTGGGAGACGCTGCGCCGCGTGGAAAGCGCCATCAACGGCGCCACCGACCTGCAGCCCTTCGACTTCATGACCGAGTTCAACGAGAACTTCCCAGAAATCGCCATCAAAAAAATGATGGTGTTCTTGGGATTCATGAAGGAAGGCTCCCGCAGCCTCGACGCGCTCCAGCAGAAGATGAAGCGCTGGGAGACCGGGCTGGTGAACAGATACATGTTCAACCTGCTGGCCTGGTACAACCACTTCGGTCTCCACCTCATCGACGAGGCGCGCTACACGGACGAGGAAGACGGGGGAAAAATCAAACCGCCCGTCCAAAAAGCGTTCTTCAAGGAGAACATGGAGGAAATCAAAAATGAAATGTTCTCCATGCGAGACGCCGAGGCGAGCTTAGGCAAGCCGAGAAGCGAACGTGTGACAGTCACACTGCGCTCTCGTAGCCACAGCCGCCGCCGCAGCGAATCGCGAGAGCGATCGGCGAGCGAAGGCCCGCAAAACCCGTTCGGCAGCGACGCCGACAGCGGCGGGGACGACGACACGGGCACAACCATGCCGAGCGACACTTGGTTGGAGAGTTTGGATCTGGAAAAAACAGATTTCAACCCGGCCATGGACCCAGTCCACAACCGCCGCCTCGACAAACGTGTCGACGTGGTGCTAGCCGAGCGCCGAAACGCGAAGGGAGGAACACGCACCACATACTACGTGTACTTCCCTCAAACCGGCTTAGTGGAGCCGTCCGCATTGAAGTCCCTGAAAAATATGGGACTCATGCTTCCGCCGGCGGTATGCCACTGGTTCCACGCGCACAAAGCGCATGCGGTGCAGTCAGGCTGTCGCAACGACGCTCAACACCTGGAATGCACACACCACCACCTCATCGACCGCAACCGTCCTCCCCCAGACATCACTATCGCCAAGAGAACGTGGGCAGAAGTGATCCGCTCGCAAAAAGAGCTGGCCGAAGTCCTCTTCTCGGCCCGGTTGGCAGGGCGAAACATCAACCAGCAGCCAACCGGCACAGCGGCAAAACGAGCGGCAGCGAAGGACAAGGAAGCAATCCGCCACCCGAAAGACTTCGTAAAACCGAAAGTCCAGCCGATGAAGGCGATGAAGGCCAAAAACGGCCGAACACGCCGCCAACCGAAAGGACCCCAGCGAAGCGACGCAAACGCGGTTCCGCTGGGACAACGGCATCGCAACGACAGTCGCGAAAAAGACAATCGTGGCCGCAACAAATCGAAGCGATCGAACGAGCGCAAAAACAGCCGCTCACGCGATCGACGCCGATAAATCGAGAGTGATGGAGGGAAAAATCCTCCTGGGGAGAGACGTGAAGGAGCACGTTGGGAGCAAACGCTCCCTCGCGGTGTGGTGGAAGGAGCCACGCACAAGCTAGAACGCGACTAGCTGGAAGAAAAAGGCTACCGGCCTCGAGGACAACAAATCCTCGAAAAACAGAATGCAAAAGCATTCGCCATAAGCCCTCTGGTCAAATTACCAGGGGCACCGGACCATTATTAAGTTAGTGGCGGAACAATAAATTCGTCCTTTTTGACAGAGTAAAAAACACTCTAGTTGAGAGGGAGGAAACAAATCAAACCACCAGTGACGACTGGTGGCCGAAAGGGAAAACGCGGCGGCGGCGGCGCAGTGTTCGAGGGAGTGACGTGTTACATCTCGTCAAGCTAAAAAGAGGGAAAACAGAGTGGGAAGGAGTTACGAGTAAGTAAAGAAGCTAGGCTGGGGAGACCACTTCATGAGATACGGCAGGAGGCCAAGATCCATGGTGGAGGTTCGCCTAAGCAGCCGCACGAACCAGCCTAGACAAAAAAGTAAGTAAGGACGAGAGAACAAACTAACTAAATAAAAACTAAAAAGAACGTTAGAGGGAACAACAGCGAGAGATAAATAAAAAAGTAACATTAAATAAATGTCGAAGCGGGCGGACGCACTGCGCAAAGCTGTCGATCTAAACGACGACGAGCTGCGCGCCATGGGAGAAGCCGACTCCACGACTAGAAACAAAAAGTCGCGAGTCGCCTTCTTCCTCGACTGGCTAGCGGCCAAGGGTGAAAAGCTACCCGTGAGGCCGGAGGCGGTGCAAAGATTCGCCGCCTTCCTAGTGTTCAATGAATACACCTCAGTCGCGCAGTACACATCCAGCATCATCATGTGGCTGGTAGAACCGCCACCCGCGGATGGCCCGCAGCGGCTAGTCGAAAGCCCCGCCATTCTCCGAAACATCGGGGACGTGGAAAAGGCAATTGAACGAACAATCCAAGACCACAACCCGAGGAAAGCAAAGCCTTTCCTACCGGGTACGAAGCTCGAGGCGCTAAAGGCAAAAGACCAAAAAATGGTCCTCCTTTGGGCGCTATCGGGATTGCGGGGCGACAGCATCGCGGCGGTGGACGACACGGACATCTCCAAAAAAGGAGACGTGTGGCGCATCCACATATCCGAAGACAAAATCCGCAAACAACGCGGTAGGATAATAGAAATCCACTGCAATTGCGACACCAACGCAAAAACAGCTGGTGCACGAAGTCGCTTTTGCCCGATGCACGGCGAAGGCGCTGTTATGAGATCTGATTTCCCATTAGGAAAGGCCAGGATAAGTAGCTTGGCGAAGGGAGAAACATAGTCGATCCACCACTACAGTCAAGAAGGCAGACATATGGGCCCTGAAACAGTGACACCAAAGCGAACCAAACAAGACCAAAGGTCGCACCCCGTCCACCCGGAGGGAA